ACCCTTTTGCTCAGCACCCCTCCTTCTCTGCAACTGGATTCCAGTTCAGTTCAGTGTTTAGCTGTGAGTGTATACTTCTACTTCCATCAGCTGCTGGATGAAAGCTCTTGGATGGCATATAAGTTAGTCATCAATCTCATTGTTAGGGAGGGTATTTAAAGTAGCCTCTTCTCTGTTGCTTAGATTGTTAGTTGGGTGTCAACCTTGTATATCACTTATTTAAGAATAATTTAAGAATAATTTGACATGTCTCATGTCAAAAATTTAGCTCAAACACATGGAAGTCAGGGATATGGATCATGAGTTCCAAGTCACCATGGTGTGCAGAATAATACCTGTTCTCAATTATTACTAACAAGTTTTAATAAACCCTGTAAATAAATACACCACACATAAAAGCCTGATTTTAACAAAATCTTTTTTTCACAATACTGATATTTAATAGCATTATATCTGGCTAATGCGAACCTGCACAAAGCAGCCTTCATGGTCATGTTCACTAATTTAGCTGTCCTAGGTCCTGCAGCATGTAGTGACCGTGATTGAGTTTGCTCCTCATGAAGCCAGATCTATGCACATGATCACAGGTTTCATAAAATACACATATGAACCAAGGAATCACCTGATACTGCCTTATGTGCAAAATAGGTGTTCTGGAAAGCCTTTTAGAGAGTCAACCTATGGGATGCTTTCCATAGCAGCAAATTTGTTCCCTGAGCAGGTGACAGATTACCTATGCAGAAAATTAATTTCTGCCAATTTTAATGATGATAATGCTTTCTTCATAGCCTCTATGGCATGTCAATGGGGTCATTTCAAATATTCACTATACCAACATGCAACCCTAGAATTTCCTATGATACTCTATCTGATACTCTTCATGGAATGAAAGTAGCTACCAAAGTGTTTCCTGTGTGCTTTTCAAAGTCAGTTTCTTTATCTTCCTTGGGAATATAAGACATAAACAAGGAATGTATCTCATTGTGGGAACAGATGCTCACATTCATAATCCAGAGACTGTGCTGATTCTCTGTTGTTTTCAGTGGGGACTTGTGAGCCTCTCGTATGTCCACAACCCATGACAGATAGTTAATGGCTCAATGTTGTTCAGATACTTGTGGATGATTACAACTTCTGACATTTCCAGAAGGGAAGAGTAATTTTATGTATGAGAGACTGAATTTTCTACCAATCATAGTAACCTCTACCATTCTTCAAATAGAGTCAAATGTCAATGAATAATAGTTTACTATCAATATCACTTGAACTCTTAGTTAATGGTTTTCAATGAATTCTACTAGAATGATCCTATTTTAAAATATTATAGTGAATATACAGTGAACTGAATATGCAAACACCTGAAAATGGGTACTAACAATTTTATTTTTTTATGAAATTCCCAGAAAAGCAGAAGGGGTCTCACTGGGGAACTTTGCATTCATCAATGCAGAGGGAAGTATGGTTTCCTAAATGATGTTAATTACTCTCACCATCCCTATTTTATTATTAGCAAACAGAATTAATTATTGAACCATCAAAATTCATTGTAAAGAGTGACCTCAGACTTGGAAACTAATTATTACAACGGTCTCTGGACAATTTTTAGCAACTGATGTTAAAATTTCTGAAAATTAAAGAATCATATTCTTCAAATGATGTTTTAACCATTTAAATTTGTATTGTATTTACAACTCATAAAAAACCATTAAGTGCTTTCTTGGTTCAATTTAAAATATGCCTGGGTTCACTTAGAATATTTAGAACAATGAAAGCCAAAATATAAACCAAAAAGAAGGAAAACATAAAAAATAGTAATAGACTCAATACCAATAATTAAACATGATTCTTTAGGACTAATTAGAATATAAAATAAAACAATAAAAAGATTGAGAGTTTCTATAAGGATATAGACTTTCAGTTGAAACTTCAGTTGCTTTGTGGAAGACTGTTGGTAACACAAAGGGCAAACTACTTGTTTCCAATTACATTAAGATAGATAAGTAAACAAATGATGCCAGTATTTTATGAACTTTAGAATAAAATCAATTATTGAGATTATTCGGTGCCTTTGCAGTAAAATTATTCCATTTTATAAAATGATAAATATATATCAACTGAAGATGTAAAATACTCTTAAGAAAATGTTTTTTAAAGCCCCAAGGCCTCAACCTTGCACAAAGAGATGCAGTCACCTGACGAAAGGTGGGAATGGGAGAAGTGGTCCTCAAGGAAGAGCTTACCATCTAGTTGTTCAGTGTTAAAGGGTCCATTCTGAAAACACACAAACAAGTAACATCAGATGGACAAAAAAGCTGTATTAGGAATATATATATATATGTGTGTGTGTGTGTGTGTGTGTGTGTGTGTGTGTGTGTGTCTAAAATATGTATATGCATGCAAATATAATTGATGATAAAAGAGAGTATGCATTCAAAGGCGAGTGGGAAGAGATATATATAGGAAGGTCTTAAGGGAGGGATGGAAAAGAATAAATGTTATAATTAAATTATAATCTCAAAACAATAACAAAAATGATTAAAGTGGAACATTTTATGGTACATGTGATTTGTAACACTAAAAGCAAGAAATGATACATAAAATTTCAATAAAATGTTTTTTATTTTATCATATCGGGAAACGATACTGGTGTAATTGATTTCATTAGCTCTTGATCTTTATATCTCTGCAGATAAACTCCTAAATGCTTTCTTTCCCAGTTAAGAAGAAGTTTTCTACATAGCATTCTTAATCCTCTGTTCATAAAGTTTGTCCTAAATAACTGTTGTCTTTCTGATCTGACCTCCAGCCCTATTAGTGACTCCTTAGTTCATCAAGGAGAATATATAAATGAAAGAGTTTTCCGGAAAGCAACTTTTTTCTTGCCTTGCTGGCAAGTCAAGACAACTTTTCCTGGACGCATTCTTCCAGGTCTGGAGAGATCCAGAACCTCATTAGATACTACTCACTTTCTGGTATAGAAATTTACTCTAGGGAAGCACTCATGTGGATAAGCTTTTAAAGCAATGCTAACAGACATTGTGTAAGAGTTATAATTTATCTATTCTTTTTATTCTTCTCATAATTCTTAAAAATCAAATTCGATTAGAATTATAATATGAATTTCTAATTATCACATTTAAAGATAGAGAAACATACACAACATAATTATGCTTATCATCCAAAATTAGATAGCACCTATGAACTCCTTTTACAATCTTTAAAATTTTATCAGTTCTTTGAGAATTTAGTGGGTTTTGATTATAGAAACAGCTCAACACTTCTCACATCCACTTTCTTTGTCTAATCATTCAAATTGATATCCCTTTTGTTATTTGTTTGTTTGTTTAATATTTTTACCATCAAAACCAATTTTTGTAGCTCAAATAGTTTTGGAGGTGTGGTCTTCCACTAGAACATGTGCAATTTACCACGTGCTACACTCTTAGAGAAAACATACTCAACTTCTTCCAGAAGTTAACATTTGCCAGTAACTCCATGTTAGTAGTAGGATTTTGAAAGTAGTGTTATTACACACACACACACACACACACACACACACACACACAATATTGGTATATTGGTAAAATTTTTACTTTATTAAACATTAAATAAAATCATGTCATTTATTTCAGCCTCCAGTTTTTTATTTATACAATATATCTTGATGATCTTTAATCCCTTGTTTTCTATAATAAAATCTTTTTTTATTCTTTTCATTGTTCCCTTCGTCTTACCTTCAAGCTTGCCTGTTTATATGCAATCTCAAAAATATAACTGACATGGCCTGACCTATTACAACAACTGTTGGTATGCCAACACTAATGGGGAATTCTCATGGGCTCACAGCCCTAGATGAATAGCAACAGGCAATTAATGAATATGGAGAATGAGAACCAGTCTCCTCTAGGGATGAGCTACCTAATTGGTTATCCAATAATGAAATGGTCAGCACTAAACAAGCATACATGAGCAATACTAAATGGACTCAGAATGTTGTATTTACACACACACACACACACACACACATACACACACACACACACACACACACACCAATATTTAATAAACAAGACAATACAGCAATCTTAAGATAGTCTAAAGTAAAAATATATTTCCCTTATTATCGTTAATCTATCAATTATACTCTAGTTCAATCTTATGTCATACGACACTACAATCAATATTAGTATCATTCTGAGCAATTTTAACCATATAAATGTGTACATACAGATATATAGATTCATACATACATACATGTGGCAAAAGTGTTCATATACATATTTTCAGTTTTTTAAATACCAGTCCTTCCATCTAATCATCTGTGGGAGATCTTTGCAAACACCAGGGCTGACAGAATAACAATCAGTGGAACACAAGAAATAAATAAATCTATTTAACAAGAATCAGTAGCTGGTTTTGGTTTAAACTTTCAGAGTCTAATACCAGGCAGTTTATTTTAGCCATATTTAAGTGCAGCTCTATTTGGGGGAAAAGATTTCCTAGTAACAATTAACTTAATCCCTTGTGCACAATAAGGCTTCAGGCATGTCTACATTGAAATTATTTGTGAAGTACAAGTGGCCTCTTTCCAAAAGATGTGTTCTATAGATTGCCTGAGAAAGAGTGTACAAGATAACGTTCTACGGATAATGACTGAGAAAAGCACTAGTCTGCGCAAGTTAGGTGTGAACTGGGTCTACAGATAGAGTGAAGGTCACTTACATTATTAGATTATTAGCCCTGCATGTGGGATTCTAGGGGAGCGAGGTAATGACTGACTCTACAGATAGCACAGGGGCCACCAACATTATTAGCCACTTCTATTCCCAGGCTTCAGATTAGAAAATGGATTTTACATCTCCCGTTAAAGTGACAACACTGTATGTTTAACATTCATGGTTTCCCTTGTGCTATCTATGAGTGCAAAGACGTTTGTGCTCCCAGCAAACTTCAGGGTTTATGTTATAAGACTAACAATGGTTCTCTGAAACTATGGCCATATATATACCTGACCAGGGAGATCCATGATCACAATCGTGGTTTTCCCTGAGCAAGGATTATCCACTTCACTCCAGATGTGCAGACCTCTGTAATTTTTACAAGTTCAGGAAACCCAGCTGCCTAATTTGTGGTGGTGAGGGACAGCGTTTGCACTCTCCTCTGAAAAGAAAAAAATGAAACTACATACATACATGTACATTTGATGCTTTTCCATAATTTGTTCATGTGAACACAAATTTAATGTTTTCTACATGTGAACTAACCATTATCATTCACTGTGGCCGTAATATTCACAACTTTATGAAGCATATCAGCAAAATGTGTACAAGTGTCTTTTAATTTCCTCACCATTTCAGATAGTTAAGACTAATTTTTAGCACAGATTTTAGTGACCTGAGTATGTTAGATTGTTTTTCTTAACTGTGTTTATGGAATGGAAAACTTCCACTTTTTCACTTGTAGGAGTCGCTTAATAGCTTGACTCTGTCACTCCCAAATTCCCCCAAGTTATCACTTTCACCCTTTATGAATACTACACAGCAGGAGAGCTACTCAACCACGGTCAGTCACAGTGAGATTGTCCATCTGGTGACAGAGGCAGCTGCTGAGAGAGCAATGGGACAGCTTATGCAATGTGGACATCATGAATAAAGGGGTGATTCGTATTGTAGACCAGCCAGAGCAGGATGTTGTGACACTTCAACACCATTCTCAAAATGCCAGGAAATATTAAAATTTGGATTTTTTTGGTTGCAGAATTTTTATATTTAATACTTTAGACTATATTTGGCCTCTGAAAAATAAAACCACTGGAATCAAAACCAAAATAACAGAAAGGTTTTGTTCCAAAAAGACTTTGTGGAGCACAGGGCATTCTTTTGCCACCATGTACATAGGTTCTAATTTACAAAACACATAGTTCATAGCAAATGCAGGCACACTTAATATTCAGGTGTGTTGTAACAAATATAAAATACCAGGGACTGTTCTTATTAATTAAATAAAAATTAATATGATTTTTATTTCCATGACTAGTGCACCTTTATAAGGAGAGGCAGTAGTTTAAAAATGTAACTATAGAATATATAAAACTTTCCCATAAGTTTTATTTTATAAAAAGAATGTAAATAAGGAGGAACTAATAGTTTTAACAAATGAGTGTACCTAAACTTAGAAGATAGGACATGATGAGGACAAAATGCATTTCTTTAGAGAAAGCACATTTGGTCTGAGCTCTGACAGTTTATTCAAAGTACTCTTTGGAATAAACTATTCTTACAAAAGCTTTATTTTTTCTCTCCATGTAATTTGTTGGCAGAGCAAAGCAGCTTCATTATTAATATGATGTGGAGAATTACTGTAATAGTTAGAAAGGGGTCATGCTCTGATTAATATTTTTAAGAGATCATATTAGCAGATATCTGAAGATTACTTTGGGCTGAAGAGTGAAATTCGGCATAGTTTGAATGGCATGGCAAAAATTTAGGTGAAGGAACAGGGTAATAGAGGTTGAAAACATCTTATCAAAGTGAAAAGTATTAGGCCAGTTATCATTTCTCAGTGATTTCAGAGGTGTAGAAACAACATTCCTTTAGGAGAAGTGTTGACTGCAGGTGAATCTAGTGCTGTTTTCAGCCAGTAATTGTGGCTGAGTTACTGGCTGGCTTCTCAGGCAGCAGGTGTGTGGGACCTTTACATCTGGCTGTATCTGCCTCCTGTTGCTGCCACCAAATGTAGTTTTTTTTGTTTGTTTGTTTGTTTTGTTTTGTTTTTTGGTTTTTTGAGATAGGGTTTCTCTGTATAGCTTTGTAGTCTATCCTGGCACTCGCTCTGGAGACCAGGCTGGCCTCGAACTCACAGAGATCCACCTGCTTCTGCCTCCCTACTGCTAGGATTAAAGGCGTGTGCCACCAACGCCCGACCCCAAATGTAGTTTTTAACTCAAAGTCTATCATTATGTTTACCAATAAGACTCGGTATCAAAGGCTGGTATGAAATCTTGCTAGTTCAGAGAAATTGAGGAGCAAGTAGCTGAACTTCACTCTTCACTGTAGTCTCAAAAAGAGAGTGTCCTTCCACACCACCAAACAGAAAAGACTGTCACACTCAATGTCCCTTCCTTCTACTTCCTGTGCATCTCTCTATCCATCCTCCAGGTTCCCTCTGACTCTCTATGATTACTTTCTGTCAACTAGTTGCTGGCTCAGCCTTTTGACCCAAAGTTGATTTTATTTAATTAATGCAAATATAAATGTGGGGTTCTCAGTGGGATTGAATATACTGCAATGTGTGAATGTGTGCGTGCATGTGCATGTGTATATAGTGGGTATAGCTAGTAACATGGGTGTACACATTTGTGTGTATGTATGGGTGCTTGTGTGTACATACACATATGAAAGTCAGAGATTAACATCCACATCTTTCTTTGATCACTCTCCATCTGTTTTTATTTTAGAGTTTTAATTATGTTTTTTTTAATTGTTTACTGAATTTTCTTTTTTTCCCTCTTGGGAATTCTATATATGGATACAATGAAACAGGAAAATAACATCTATACTTTCCTCTTAAATACCTCTAAATCCCATCTATCATCATCCCCTACCAATTTCCTGATGTACTCCTCTCTCATTTTCTAAATTAACTCACTAATTCCAGCCAGTGATGCATATATGCATATGCATATATATATATATATATATATATATATATATTTTGTGTGTGTGTGTGTGTGTGTGTGTGTGTGTGTGTGTGTGTGTGTGTT